CATCATTTGCTCCATACAGATTCAATGGTAGGAAAGGTATCTCAGGTGGAGTTGTGTTTTGTGAAGGTGCATTGGTTAGGTCATTGGCTCGTCAACAACAGTCAGTTTCCTTGTCATCATGTGAAGCAGAATTGTATGCATTGCAGATGGTTGCCCAAGAATCGGTTGCTTTTAGTAATTTTTGTCACCGTGTGTATATCGGGATTGGAGAGATGAGAGAAAGAGATGTTCCTCAAATTCTGCTGGAATCTGACAGCTCTTCAGCGTTGCAGCTGTTAGTAGGACAGGACATTCCCAAGAGAAGTCGGCATGTTGAGATTAAAATGGCCTGGATGAAAGCTAAAATTAGTTCCAACGAACTGCTGGTTGAACACCGAGCTGGAACTGACAATGTGGCAGATCTTTTTACCAAGTGTTTGGGGACCAAGGATTTTCTCAGGCATCGAACGAGCTTAGGATTCGAAGTGCCAGAAGTACCTGCAAAAGACCTGCAAAGAATTAGGGATGTCATGCTGTTTAACAACCGTGTGGACCAGAAACAAGACATCGCCTTTGTTGAAGTTTGTTGCGGGACGAATTCAGCACTTAGGGAAGCCTGCAAGGTAGCCAGAATGCCCTACATCGGTATCGTCAAACGAATGGAAACTGCTGATATGTTTCAGAAAGTGAAAGAATTCGTTGAGGTACAACAACAGCTAGGGTATAGATGGGTGCATGTGCATGCTTCCACACCGTGCAGTTCAGGATCGCCCCTCAAGAATTTTTCAGCGCAAATTGAATCTGAGGCTGACAGGTCATGGAAAGGTATCATGGACAACGTTTCTAAGTATTTGTTGCTGGGGAATTCACGGTCATTTGAATTGCCACGAAACAACAACATTTGGAAACGAGATGAAACGAAACGTGTGTTGAAACAGTGCGGTTTGCAATTTGATGCTGAAGTGTTTTTATGCCAGACTGGTATGCAAGCTCCAAACGGTTTACCAGTAGGAAAGGTTTTGATTTTTTGTAGTGCTTCAGCCGGTTTCTGCAACTTGCTCACAAAGAGATTTGGTTGGTGCGAGTGCGACAAGCATGCTGGGATGTATGACGTGAATTGGACCCAGACAGGTGTGTACAACAGAGAACTTGCCAAGGCCATTTTGGCCGCAGTACGTGCGAGTAGGAAGAATCCCTGAATGTGTGCCGTCTGCACAGAGCATGAGACAACCAAGAGGAGAATTTTTTGACCTGCATGTGCACGAGTTTCCATAGGAAATTTGCGTGGCAGGTGGAACTGATTTTTGCACGTCTCCGGACGTCGCCAGTTTAATTTGAAAGGGGGATGTGCGACCTTATTTTTGATTTTTGGCATGGAGAAACCAAAGTTTTGTTTTTGCATGTCTTATTTGAAACCAAATACAAACGAAACGAAACCCACAGTTGATGTCCAGATACAGTCATGTGAAGCACTGCAGTCATGTGGAACACAGATTTTTGTTTTTTTTTGCGAAACACTGGCGAACGCGAAGCACTTTTGATGAAACACTGCAGTGATGTGAAGCACAGTTCACTTGATGTCAACTTGTGCATGTCAGTTGAGTTTGTTTTGAGTTTTGCATGTCTGTTGACACATTTGGACAGGGTTGGACTACAGTTTTTGATGTTTTTGCAATGTTTTGGATGAAAGGCACGTCAGTCGAAATGCAACGACCTGCATGCTACTAAGGATGTCAGGTACATGACACAACTCACACGCCCAATTCTACATTTGCGGAGTTTAGGACCCTCAAAACGGCTAAACTGCGGTACTCGACTCTGGGTGCGTGTGTGTGTTGAAACAGCTTTCAATTAGGAATTAGATCGACTGACGCAATGGCTCGAAAGTATGGACAACAGCACTGGCCGCCAGCTGATGCAGGCCCCTACGGGCACTCTGGATCGAATTCGATGAATTCGCAGCAGCTCCCATACGATCCCAATGATCCAGTTCTTGGGACGCACTCGCGACTTGTTGCGACTGTGTATTTGTAAGTAAGTAACCTGTTGTATTGGTCCGGTTCCTGACCTTTACGCGGTTACCGGTTCTCCCCTTGGTGTACTCTCCCTCTACGCGATCCTCCTGGTTTGACGCGTTGCGTTCTCTGTGTGCACGCCGGTATTGCGGAAGTCTTTGTGTGCACTCGGAAGTTATGACCCGGAAACACAACAGTTAGTAAAACCTAACTTGCAACAAAGAAAATCTAAAAGATTCAGTTGCCCTGTTTCCTGGTCCGGTCTTTTTGGTTTTATTTTTTGTGTTTCTGGATTTCACGGAAAATGAAATCACAGATTGGAAATTTGGAATGCCTAAACGTTTTGACATACACAAGGGTTATGTCAACGGTTTTTTATACATGTGAACACTTTGAATTCTTTGAATGTATGTTACATAAGTGGATCAAAGATGAAAGGGTTGGAGCAAATTTTTGTAGTTCTCGTTCTCGGCGTTGCCCAGACTTCTAGAAGTCTCATGGCAGAGGACAAAGTTGGAGCCCAGGTGATACAACTGCTTAGTGACAAGGGTTTGACCGGCAAGAAGCTAGCTGTTTTCAACTTGGAAGATGCAGATTCCATTGCAACACAGGTATGCAAGGATTTGGGAGTGATTTGTGAGATGCAACATGTGCACGTTGTGAAACGTTTGATCAGGGAAGCACACTTGGCCGAGCCCATCGCCAAGCGTCTGCGTGGAGACGATAGCCTGGACCCTTTGCATTTTCAGTTGCTTGTGGATAGGGCTTCAAACTTACAGACAGGGAACAGAACTACAGTGGTTTCACCAGTTGATGAATTTTTGGAGTCAGATGTTAGGGCTTCTCGTAGGGCAGCACGTCATGCAGAACCATGTGAAGAAAGGTTCAAAAAGGAAGCAAGTCAGAAAGAATTCTGGTCACGTGAACTCTATAAAGAGTTGAAACGTATGGGAGCGCCGGCCTTGGAACATTTAGAGCATTGCGTCAGTGATTCACACATTCATTTGGCACTGGCTGGACGGACACGATACAGCACTTTGAAGAGATATATTAAAACTTGGAGATCCTTTCAACAATGGCAGACTGCAGTCAGGGGCAATGCAGGTTCACCGGAAGTTGGAGACCTAGTTGAATATATCTTCTGCAGATATGATGAACCTTGTGGACCGACTGTGCCACCTCTCATTGTGAAGGCTGTAGTTTGGATGGAGAGGACAGCATGCTTGGATGTCCGTGCCCGGATAGGAGATTCACACGTTGTTGGATCTGTTAGGGACTATGTGGTCGAGATGCTCTCCAAGGATTCAGCACCCACAAAGCGTGCGCCTCGGTATCCAGTGGTCATGATGGAGTCATTGGAACATGTTGTTGAAGATGAGAGCCAACTATTGGGCATCAGAGTGATTGCATGGATCAAATTGGTAAAGCTCTGGGGTACATTGAGATGGGATGATGTGCAGAAAATGATCCCAAAGGAGCTCAAGTATTTTGGAGGCAGAATGACAACGGTTTTGAGGACAACAAAAACCACAGGACCAACAAAACGGGTCCGAGAGCTGCCGGTCTGTATCTCAGAGCATGCTTACATTTCAAATCAATTTTGGTTGAAGACGGGATTTGACCTGCTCAAAAATGATGTTGCTTTCGACAGAGACTATTTGCTGCCGAAGTTGAACAGTAATTGGACAGGTTTTAGAAGGGTCATGGCCACATACAACGACATCAGCTCTTATTCTGCTTATTTGAGAAGAAAGATCAAGAGGCCAGGTCAGGATGAATTGATTATCCATCCGACGATGGCTGCGTTTTGGACGGAGCACTCAGAGAGGGCGACGTTGCCGACAGGTTTGGCATTGCTGCGGGCGCCTAAGGAAGAGAGAGACATGCTGGGACGTTGGAAACCCGATGGTTCAGACACTTATCTGCGTATGTACAATGGAGTGGTCAGCCGACTCCAATTGCAGTTCGCAAAGGCGGCTAGGACCAATGAGCGTTCCAGCACATTGGACGAGAGGGACATACTTGAGAGTGCGATGTCTTGGATCACTGATAGGTGTGAGCCGTTGTCAGATGAGAGGGTTCAGATGATACTGAAGCATTTGCAGAAGTCCATGGAGTGCAAAGCAATTCAGGGTTGGCAGACTGTGGAGGAAAATCAGCAGGAAGATGACACGCTCTTTGGGCCGCTGACCGAAGAGATAGAAGAGGTAGAGGCAGTGGACACAATCAACCCAGTTGAGCGTAAGGGACAATGACTGCCAATGTTCGTAGTGGTCAACAATGGTAGCAAGTGCAGACGTTTACACAAGAGCCGTGGAGGCTGTTGGATGGGTAGAGAGATGAACTTCAAGTCGTCTGTGGAATTCAACACACTGCCAAACCCTGAGGAATATACACATTACTGCAAGGTTTGTTGGCCAAAGACAGGGCCTGACACGAAGTCAGAGGTTTCATCATCATCTTCCTCAACTTCCAGTTCCAGGAGTGCCAGTAGTTCTTCCAGTTGAGAGAGCGAATAGCGCGCTTGAGAAGATGGTAGGTTGGATCAGTCCCAAAGGGGCCGGTGGATCCGAAGCCTGTCAAAGACAGCAGGAAAATGTTGCAGTGGCTGCAACCGGTGAAGATGTTGGTTTGAGTGTCTGTCTTTGACTGATCGTTTTTTGCTTCTGGAGATGTCTTGAATCTTGTTGTCTTGAATCACATTGTATTTCTGGGAAAAAGCATCGGTGAGATGCCGGTGAGTTGAGTTAGGTTTGAGGAATCCGCAGATTTCTCCGGAGCATCGGTTCAGCAAAAGCCGAGGGTTTATCATGACATAGTTGGAAGCAGGTTCAATTTTCTGGAGTTTTTTCTCACGCGTGAAACCGTGGTTTTTTGTTTGATCTTGTGGAATACTTTGATTTCCTAAACAGATGAGCGGAAATTAAGTTTTCACTGACTTTCAGATTGCAGTGCATTTCTTTTGACAGAACATTTTCTTTAGCTGGTAGCTCGACTGCGGTGAACATGGCTGCACCAGAGCAACTGGCCTTGGAAGAGGCTCTCAAAAAGGGGAGCTCAGATTTGAAGTTCACGTTGACGAGAAACGAGGTTTCAGATGAACTGCAAGCAGCTTTTTATAGGAATGGGGTTACAACTATTCCGAAGTTCTCTTCATTCTTTCGTTCAGAGGATGATTTGGTGACTGTCCTGAAGGACTCCTTCAACACGGATTCAGATCACAGTTTGGCTGATAGATCTCAGGTTGCGTCAGTGATTTGTGCGTGGCGTGAGACGCAGACTCGACAGAAGAGACAGATAGAGGTTGAGGCAGAGATGGATACAAGAGAGTGGACAAAGCACATTCCTACAGGTGACTATATCAACATGAGAAATGCATACATGAAGGTGCATGGAAAGATTGAGGATAAGGTCACTCCATCAAAGGAGTATCTGGAGAAAAAGTTACAGGAACTTGAAAACGGCGAGTTCCGAGCGGAGACCATGGCTGAGGTGGTATCGAAGGACGAGGTGGATCCTGATGTGATGATTCCCATTTTTGATTCAAAGGGAAGCCTTTCTGTCAAACGGGGATCAACAACTATACCACTTCCTACAGGGCCTGAACAGTTGAGGCGCAGGTTGACAGTCATGCTGAATGCCATTCTCATGCTTGCTTTGAAACATACGAATCGTGAGGAGATACAAGATGTGTCACGTGATTTGTTTGAGCGTTACAAGGACTACATCTTGGGTGACTATGTTTGGGGACTTTCCTCAACGGATTTGCATGGGAATCAGATCCAGACGCCTCCTTGGAGCTTGGTCCTCAGTTATGAACAGGCTGTGAGAAAGCGTGCATACTATTTGATGGTTTCAGAGCATTTGCAGCTTGGGACAGCACTTGAACAAGCATGGAAGTGCCCAGTTACAAAGGAGAGGCATTTCATTACGCCTCTTGCGCTTTACAGCAAGCGCTCTTTCCCGAATCAGAATTGGGGAGAATGGAACCCAAAAGGAAAGGGTAAGGGCGGAAAGAGTTCATCTGGAAAGGGAAAGTCGAAAGGAAAAGGGCCAGGGACCACACCCGAGGGCACCAAGATCTGTTTCCGTTTCAACCAAGGGAAATGCAATTACCAGAAGTGCAAGTTCAGTCATGTTTGCAATCGGTGCTTCAAGAAGGGCCACAATGGTTTGAACTGCAAGGACGAAAAGCCTGCCCCGGACACAACGGGAACACACTGACCAGGTCCTTGCAGAGACACAGGTGCAAGGGAACAGCACAAATCTTCAAAGAAGATTCTTCGGGTGCTGTATGTTTTCTCAGGGAAACCGAGAAAGAATTCAGTTTCATCATGGCTGCAAAAGTTGTCGAAACGATACAATGTGGCAATAGAGGTTGAGATGGTCGACATTCAAGTGCGACCCTTCCTGGACCTCACTCGTGCAGAAACCCAGCAACGTTTGTTAAACAAGATTGCATCGGGTAGATTTTTTGCAGTTTTATTCAGCCCGCCATGCAGCACCTTTTCTAGAGTGGTTTGGGCGAACAGAAGAGGACCGAGGCCAGTTAGATCCTTTGTGCAGCCACGTGGATTTACAAGACTTACATGGGCAGAGCGTAAACGTGCAATGTGGGGCAATACAATGGCGGATTTTACATTCAAAGCTTTTGAAATGCAGGTGGACCAAGGTGGCATGGCTTTGTTTGAAAACCCAGAAGACTTGGGAGCGATCAAGTCGGGGGAGCACAGAGGTAAACGACCAGCGAGCATGTGGCAGTGGACTGAGTTTCAACGTCTTCTGGAAAGGCAAGATGTTGAAACGGTTGCGCTTTATCAGCAAGACTTTGGGACTGAGTACTTGAAACCAACAAGGTTGATGCTGGCGAATTTCAAGTATCATCATGAATCCTTCTGCAAAGGTGGGCCATTTTTTGATGAGCAAGGTTTTTACGCTGGTCCACTGGAGTCCAGGGACGCAACAAGACAGCTTGTGGGCAATATTGGAAGCTCCTTTGCAACAACAGGTACAGAGCAGTGGCCTTCAGACATGTGCAAATGGATTGCAGATACAATACTTAGACAATTTACAGAGAAGCAGATCTAGGACAGTGTCATCGCTGACGACGGAGCAGAGGGAACAAACTCTGACACTCTCCCATACCCCATCTTGAAACCAGATGGACATAAACTCTACGGTGGCACTGGAAATCCGAGACAATGTCAGCAACCGGGTAAGGAGAGACAGTTTCATGACGGTGCAGGCCTTTCTTCAATGGGTAGATGGGATGCAAACAAGCGCATTTGGTCTGAGACACCCTTTTGGAAAGAACTGAGAAAGGAGACCTTGGAGATGATCCTCAAACACGTTGGGGACGAGAGGACATTGAACAGAGCTTGTTTTGAGATGGCGGTGCGTGGCGAGGAAGGATGTGCTATTGTTTCTGATGAAGAGCTAAAAGCCAAGATACGCGCACTTTGGATCAGACTCTTGGAAAAACATGGTAGCAAACAGGAGGGATTGGAGACCAGAGCAGAAGGTCAACCTTTTTACTTGAGGCTCATGAAGGAGTTGCTAGCTTTTGCAGACGATGTTGACAGGGAATTTCTCTTGGAAGGCGAAGTGGGTTTTCCTGTAGGTGTCTTGGCACCACTTCCAAGAACGCCTCACGTCTATGAGGAACAAACCAGCTGGCGTTTGGAGGAAGAGCCGCTCATGAGAGAGGAGGTCTGGCGTTCAAATTACCAGTCAGTGGACCTTCATACTGACTTTGTCTACAGCCATTTTGAGGAGGAATGCCAAGAAGGCTTGATGGAGAAACTGACTTTGGAACAGGCAAAAGAGAAGTACGGTGACAAAATAGCTATCTCTTCTCTTGCAGTCTTGGTGGAAGAGAACCATCAAGGGAAGCGTCGGATAATACACATGCAACACATGGCACTTTGGTCAACAACAGGATCAGATGTCGGGACAAAGTCAGAAGTCCCAGTGCACGGGAGAAGCAGTACCTGTTGGCGCTTTTCAAGGGCCAAAACAGTTCAGTTTGCAGTGTAGTAGGAGACATCAGCAAAGCACACCGGAGGTTTCTTCATGCGCCGTGTGAGCGCGGCCTGCTTGCGTGCAAAGTGAAGGAGGATGACAACTTTATTTACGTGAATAAGGTTGGCACATTTGGAGTTGCATGTGCATCATACTGGTGGTCAAGGATTTCTGGAGCCGGCGTGAGGCTGATACATGAGTTGCTGGGCCGTGACATGGCAATTGATATACTTATTTTTGCGGACGATATAGAGGCCATCGCGGCCAACGCTGGTGGAAGGAGGGGGATCACTCTTTGTTTCCTTTACATGTCTATTTTGGGATTCCCATTTAAATGGGCTAAACAGCGTGGTGGCTTGCGTGTCGAATGGATCGGACTTTACACTGACTATCCAACATTCCGGATTGGTTTATCGCCCAGCAGGGCAACTTGGATGCGCAACTGGGTTCTGGAAATGGCCAATAGCGGAGTTACAACTTCCAAGAACTTTGAGCAAGGATTGGGGAGGCTTGGATTCGCATCTCTGGCTCTCATTTGGGAGCGTCCATTTCTGGGTCCTTTATACAGTTGGTCTGCAGCCGTCCGCAACAAACCAGGACGCTTGCGGATACCAGCTATGATCAGGGCTATACTACTCTTCTTGGGGTCCAGATTTGAAGAAGGTGGCCAATTGCAGGAACCACCCCCTTTGGCAGGCAATTACAAAGCTGAGCAAAGCCTCCTTTTTTACACTGATGCCAAGGCCACTGAACATGGAGCATGGATAGGCGGTTACAAACAAGACAACGATGGCAACGTGCTGGAGTGGTTTTCAGAAGAGATACCGCATTCGTGGGCGGAATGGATGACGTTGAAGAAAGACCCAAAAAGGGTTATTGCGACATTAGAGTTGTTGGCGAGCTTAGTAGCTGTTAAGCTTTGGATGCCACAGAGCAAGGAGCATACCAAAGCCACCTGCTATTTGAAGGGTATGACTGACAATTTAGGCAACACCTTTGCTGTTTCAAAGTGGATGAGTACGAAGTTTCCCTTGACAGTTTTTGTCATGGAGTTATCAGAAACCTTGAGGCGGGGCAACTGCCTACTTTCACTGGATTGGGTCAGGCGAGACGACAACCAGCTCGCTGACGACTTGACGAACCAGGTTTTTGATAAGTTTGAAATGAAGTTGAGAGTGAGGTGGAAGCCCGAAGCACAGGAGTGGCACATACTGAATCAGTTTCTTGAGCACTCCAAAGGCTTCCACAACGAGATGAAGAAGAGAAAAGCGGAAGTGCTTCCGCCGGTTGCCCAGGTCAAGAAAACACGAAAAAAGTTGAGCCCCTGGTAGCTCACCGATGGCCGTCCTCGATACTTAGGGGCTGGTTGACTCGGAAGCCATTCGGTTGCAAACGTATACAAATGGCAAGTCACCAGCAAAGAAATGGATGTGGTAGCCAAACCTCGTGAAGAGAACAAGCGGGCATAAAAAGAAACAGCCGTTCATCTCATTGCACTTTGATTCAGTTTCTTGTTGCGGTGATGTCAGTTGTGAAGTTTTATATATACGGCGTTTTTTGAATATATTATTTATAGTATACCGTGGCGATAGCCTCACGTGATATTTATACTTCGTTTGGAACTTTTTGAATGGTTTGCGACGCGCGTTTACGTGTTTTTTACATTGGGAGGGTTTTGGGAGGGTACCTGTGCTTACTTAACTAGTACGCACTCGCGACTTGTTGCGACTGTGTATTTGTAAGTAAGTAACCTGTTGTATTGGTCCGGTTCCTGACCTTTACGCGGTTACCGGTTCTCCCCTTGGTGTACTCTCCCTCTACGCGATCCTCCTGGTTTGACGCGTTGCGTTCTCTGTGTGCACGCCGGTATTGCGGAAGTCTTTGTGTGCACTCGGAAGTTATGACCCGGAAACACAACAGTTAGTAAAACCTAACTTGCAACAAAGAAAATCTAAAAGATTCAGTTGCCCTGTTTCCTGGTCCGGTCTTTTTGGTTTTATTTTTTGTGTTTCTGGATTTCACGGAAAATGAAATCACAGATTGGAAATTTGGAATGCCTAAACGTTTTGACATACACAAGGGTTATGTCAACGGTTTTTTATACATGTGAACACTTTGAATTCTTTGAATGTATGTTACATAAGTGGATCAAAGATGAAAGGGTTGGAGCAAATTTTTGTAGCCCACCCTCCCACACCAGGGGCTGGTTGACTCGGAAGCCATTCGGTTGCCAACGTATACAAATGGCAAGTCACCAGCAAAGAAATGGATGTGGTAGCCAAACCTCGTGAAGAGAACAAGCGGGCATAAAAAGAAACAGCCGTTCATCTCATTGCACTTTGATTCAGTTTCTTGTTGCGGTGATGTCAGTTGTGAAGTTTTATATATACGGCGTTTTTTGAATATATTATTTATAGTATACCGTGGCGATAGCCTCACGTGATATTTATACTTCGTTTGGAACTTTTTGAATGGTTTGCGACGCGCGTTTACGTGTTTTTTACATTGGGAGGGTTTTGGGAGGGTACCTGTGCTTACTTAACTAGTACGGATATGACACAGGGAGAATGGGACCAACTACGTGCACTCATGCGCAAAGCTGAGGAAGGTGGGAAGATGAACGAACTTTTGACTGTCCACAAAAAGGAGGTCAAAAATGCTCCCATGAACAGAACCTACCCACCGGATGACGACTGGCAAGAGTGTAATGAAGGTCACCCAGCTGACAAGAATTCATCTACGAATTCAAATGCTGGTAAAGCGCCTCCAGGCGCTCTATGGCCAGATGATCCAGCATGGAAGGTACCACCGGCATCTCCACCGAAGAATTTACAGCAAGGGGCAAGCTCCGGGTTTCGTGATGCACGTGAATACCACAAGAAGTGGCAGGATCGCCCTTACGATCCCAATGACGACCCCTGGATTGAAGATGTGGAGAAGGATGACAAGCCGAAGGATAAGCCTGTGATTCAAATTTATGGGAACGTTGTGCAAAAGAATGCGGACCTTGCGGAGGCAAAGGCTGCTGCTGCCGCCATTGCAGCCATTGCAAATCAATACTGCCATCCGGATGAAGGAGGTTCAGCGGGTTTCCCAAAATTCAATGCACAGGTGCCTATCCCTCCTCCTGCCAAAGCTGATCCACCAGTACTCCCTGCCGCAGCTCTTGGAAGTGAACAGTCATACAATGAACAGAAGGGCAAAGGCAAGGGATTCGAGAAGGGTGGAAAAGGAGAATTCGGCAAAGGTGGTCAAAGCGACAAGGGCAAGGGTAAAGAATTCGAGAAAGGTGCAAAAGGTGAGAAAGGAAAAGAAGGAAAGGGAAAAGAGTCACAGTTTCCCAAGGCCACAAGCCATTCTACAAAGTGTGCACGCATCTCGGAAGAGCCACCTGATGTGGTTGAACCGAATTCGAATAAGATGCCAGATGGTGCAATGACAGACGGCTCCAAACGTCGTCATGAGGCCGTGATGTCTGCCTCTGACAGTGAGGATGGGCTTGGTAGCTATTCCTTCATCTCCGACACCGGGGACTCACCGCCGATCTTTCCGAGCTTTCCCACTGGATTGCCAGGCACTCACAAATGGGCAGACAACTGGCAAGATGCTGATGTTAATTACGAAGAAGTGGATTTCTCAGTGCCAAAGCCTGCATGGATCAAGGACACATATCACTGGTCTTGCACGCTATTGAAGATGGGAAAATTCGCTGCATCGCCAATTACATATCATGCCTTTGTTGTCAAGGTCTTCAACAAGAGTGCAGATGAATGTCGCTACGCCAAGAAGATTATCGGACAGTTCAGGAAGAAGTTGACTTCCACACCCAGGACACAGGGTCCTGATTTCTGTGCATTTCTTATGCACTGCCGAGTTGACGCATTCCTGAATGCTGGCTACGTGTACCAGCGTGAGTTCGAGTGGCGTTGATGGCTGGAAGTCTTTGAGACATTGCATGCCCAAGCCGATGGTTTTTTTTGTGCAATGTGCCTGGAATTCACTGGTATGGATGCTCTGTGCAGAATCTATGGAACTTCTTTTATGATGGACCGGACTGCATGAAATCCGTTGCAAGGTGATTTCAACTTGGCACTTTGAGTTCAACTTTTCTGCATCAATGAGTATGCGGACACAGACAACAGCGATGACACAGGAATAATTAACGTACACAGGTATTTTTGATACATCTGCAACTGCTGGGAAGAGATGACTTCGTGTGCGGATCCTCACAATGGTTTTACAGATGATGTGGATACATATACAATGCATTGTGCTGCATGTTGGAAACTTTCTTAGCCAAGCTGCATGGGAATCGTAGCAAAAGGGGGTATGGAAGTATAAACTCCCGTTGATACGGTGAACATGTGCTACGTTCCCCTGACAACTTGATATGGCATGTGGAATTTGGTTACAACAATGTCTTCTTTGTGCACAGCTCTGGATTTGCTGCAGAATGGTGGAATAACATCTGGGAACGATGTATTTTTCGTTGTTTTCTGGACTTTGCATGGTAATGCAAAGTATTTGGTGATGATGTTTATGGACAAGAAGGTCAAACGTTGTTTTCGAAACTCACTTGCTGCATGCGCGGCATTTGCAAGTGAATTTGGACGGTTGTGGTGCAACTTTATTTTTCCTGGATGTGCATGTCGTTTGTCAACAACAACAAACCAATTTATTTTTCTGCCAAACTGCGTTTTGCTTTTTCTGGAAGCTGCATGATGTTTTTGAGAAGTTTGTGGACGAAGAGAACGTTTTTGGAATTTGTGATGAGTTTGAACTTATTTGGAAATGGTTTTGGAGATGTTGGTGAATTCATCCACTCTGAATTCACCAGTGAGAAGCTGAGTTTGTTTTTTATGGAATCTGTGTGATTCCGCTGCCGTATTCAAGACGGGACAAGTGCAAGAAGACCAACATAGCACAGTGCATGCTGCATGAACAGCAAACTTACTTTGCTCTCGTCGTTTCCTGTGTGGAAAAGAGTTGAGCGACTGGTGCAGTGAGAGCCGTTGTTTTGGGGTTTCGTGTTTTTGTTTAAACACTCGACGTGGCGGAGGCCGACCCCATTGCGTGCGTTTGCGACTAGTGGTTGTAATTAGGTCTGTTTGAAATTTCGCAAACAATGATCAATCCGGCATTGAGCTCGGCTTTGGCTTCGGTGTAAGGAGTACTGCCGGCGGGCACTGGCTAGAGCTGGCCATGGTATTGTGTTGCATTGCTTCCGCTCTGCTTGCCTTATCCGTCATGAGGTTGATCAGTTCGGCTATCTCGAAGAGTGAGGTGAATGTTTTACCCACTCTCGACAACTCCTTGCACAATCACTGGCCAACTCTTCTGAGTTTAGCCTCCTTTGTGCTGAAGTCCTTAAATATCGTCTAGAAAAGAAACAAGATTGCTGTACTGCCCTCAGACAGTTAACCACATGGAATGTATCAGGTTGGAGAACGTTACAATGGACTAACCCTAAGACACAAGCCATTCTCCGCCGGGCTCGGCATGGCATTGTCTGCCTCCAAGAAACCAGATGGACGGCGAGTACTGCTACCAACTTTCTCCAAACCTATCCAGGCTTTAATATTGCGCACTCCCCATCGATCGCAACAGAAAACGGAGGCCTGTCGGGAGGAGTAGCCGGCACGCAATCAGAGTCTATCAGTGCAAAAGTTTACAGTGGGAAACACTAAGCACAGTGCCTCTAGAGCTGCAGCGCCAGCCCAGGTATAATGGACTTGATGCAATCCTGTATCAGCGTTGATTGGAAAATGGATAGCAGTTGTTTTCTCCCGGTAAGGGCCAGTTACTGCACATCTGCCTTTGATCCATGGTGCAAAATGTTGCCAGTAGGCAGGGGCATTGGTACCTGACAGCGTGCGGTTGTCCACAAAAACATAGACAGTGTCATATTGAGGCACCCATGAGAGGTTGTTGATTATCCACTGGAAGAGTGTCCTATGGTGGACCTGGCTGGTTGCAGGGCGGCGGATTCCATTCCCTTCGTCCACCATGATGGCTGGGTATGTCAGGGGTGACCGGGGCATTCGACGAGAGCCGACATCGGCCCACTTCCACTTTTGCTTGATGTCGTCCATGCCGAGTGGAGTTTCAATTTCTTTTTCCGACAGGAAGAGTTCGTCCAGCTGGTGGCTTATTTGCAAGACCTCCTGGTTCCCACCATCACATATTCACGAGGTGGTGTCACTGGTACTGCAAGTCCTGGGTCATCCATTTCAACGTTGCCTGCTGAACTTGAAGTGGAAAGAGAGCCATGATGAGTATCAGCACGGAAATTTCAAGTATCTTGTGATGGCCGTGGGCCAGCCTACAAAGG